AATAGGCTTAGGGAGAGTAAATAGCTTGTCCAAAGCCACCCAGCTCTCACGACCAAAGGACTGTGACCCAGGGCCATCTGGTTCCTCAGATGTGCTGTGCCCACTATGTCCTATCATGAGGATGAGCCCCAGTGCAGGTCACCTGTGGGAGGCCATGTGATTGCAGTCAGGTCTCTTGGATCCAAGTGCCTAACTCGGGTCTCTGATGTAGTGAAACTTCCATAAATTCAGATGGTCCGTTTCTCCTCAGTTGAAAATTTTCTTCAGTCAGTCTTCTTCAACATCAAATTGATCATTGGTCTCATTACAGAATTTAGAAGAAATGTTCAGGTCATATTAAGGTGACCAACTGGCTTAGTTTGACCAGGATGGAGAGGTTTCTTGCAAGAAGGGACTATTAGTGCTAAAGCCAGGAAATTCCGGGACACATTGGTCACGCTCTACAGAGCTGCCCTCTCTGACTGGGCTCTGGAGTGGGAACATTGTACAGTAACTGATGGAATTGGAGAAGAAGCAGAAAGCTGTTGAATGAGCAGTCCTTGAACGCTGAGTGCCAGACCTTCTTTCTGCCGTTCCCTCTGTGCGACCAGGATTGTCCCCAGGGACCAGGACAGTGACGCTGTCTCCTCTTCATGCTCAGCACCATCCCTTGGTGGCAGCTCCTCTTCACAGTGTGTGCATTTTCTTTCTTTTTTTTTTTTTTTTTGTGAGGAAGATCAGCCTTGAGCTAACATCCATGCTAATCCTCCTCTTTTTGCTGAGGAAGACTAGCTCTGAGCTAACATCTATTGCCAATCCTCCTCTTTTTTTTTCCCCAAAGCCCCAGTCGATAGTTGTATGTCATAGTTGCACATCCTTCCAGTTGCTGTATGTGGGACGTCACCTCAGCATGGCCAGAGAAGCGGTGCGTCGGTGCCCACCCAGGATCCGAACCCCGGGCCGCCAGTAGCGGAGCGCGCGCACTTAACCACTAAGCCATGGGGCTGGCCCCGTGTGTGTATTTTCTATTCTTGAGCCCTGACCCATCATTGACTTCCAGCTTTTAATTTGTTTTTCTGTTTTGATTTCTTTTCAGCCACACTGGTTTCAACTGCAAAGAAAGAACGTAAATGCAGACAGTATTGTGTCCCCCTTTCCCCTCCTCACACAGAGATGGGCTGTGGGGTTGGAGTCCCGATGGTTCTCTGGGAAATGCATGTATCAGGACACGGTCTTGACCAAAAGAACTGGAATTACTGAACCTGGCAGTAGCTTCAGTCCTAACCATCCCTAAACTCCCCTCTCCCCCGGCCCCTCAAGGCTCCTCCCTGTTCCTCCTCCCCACCCCACTGCAGTTCCTCCACGGCCCTGGGGGCCTCCTCCCTCCTGTCTGCACAGCCTCACTGCGCAGGGAGAGGAGCCACCTCTCCATAGATCCCGGGTCACAGGAGGCTGGAGCCTCCTCCTCTGAAGGGCAGGAGTCTGGAGACCTGAGTCTTCGCTGTCTTCGGTGTCAGAACTGACAGCTTTGAAGGGAGGGGGCTGGACTGCAGCATGAGGGATACGGATCATAGAGAAGAAGGATTTTCTCATCATATGGGTGGCTCATTGACTGATTTATGTATCTAGTGATTCCCAGGTCCAGGTACTGGCTGAGAATATTACAAACATGGAAACGTTTGATCCTAAACACCGCTGAGGAAGGCGCTGTTTTTATCCTCATTACAGATTTGGAGCCTGAGGCATCACTGAGCAGAGTGTGGAACTCCTTCCTGCAGGTCTTTATCAGGAGATGGATTCTCATTTCTCTGAGGGGTCAGCCCCCTCTGGGGCAGAGAACTGCGTATTTGCCTTGTCTCACGCCTGCACTAGGAAGAGATCTTCAGGGAGGCAGGAATGAGTTGTTTGTGTGGACTTTCTGCTCTCCATCTGGCGATGCTGTTGATGATAAACAATGTTTTGGTGAAGAAGTGTTAAATTTCTTCTCTACACTCGGTTAAAGCCATTTGTAGTAATGACTATAGGTCCCTTAACAAGTTCCAAAAAGAGTGAAAGATAAAAGCCACCTTGTTTGTGGGCTCATCAGACTTGGATCATTGATATTGGGTTGTGATTGCGGGGACCGGGAAGTTAGGACTGTCAACAATAGTGTGGGGCCCCAGGACGGCACAGCCCCTCATGGCTTGATGCTGCTTCTGGGGGCCTGGAATCCTTTTGTTCTGTTATAGCGTATAGTGACTGTGGCAGCCTCCTCCTTCGGGCAGGATCTCCAACTATGTCGGGCCAAAAACTGTTTGTGTCTGAACCATCCAGATGACCCCAGGTCTCCAGGTTGTTACGGCAACACCTGCCCTCCAGTGAGTGCTCAGGATGTGTTTTCTTTGCTGATGTTGTAGTTTCATAGGAACAAGTCCATCTTGTCCTCCACCATCCAGCACACACAACTAAAACACGTTCTGACTCCGTTTCACTCCCAGCTGAAAATCCATCAGTGGCTCCCTGTCTTCTGGAGAAAATTCATTCTCCTTAGCATGGCTTTCAAATTCCTTCATGGTGGCTGCTGGATCTCCCCTCTCTTCTAACCACTTCTTCCCTCTGCCTCTCTCTGTGCTGAGCCCTCACACACTGAGTTTTGGACACACCAGACCCTTTAGCAGATCCATGCCTTTGCTCACACTGTCTGCTCTGCCTGGAATGCATCCTTCCACCCTTTCCAGACTCACCTGCCCACTGCTTACGGTCCTCCTTTTGTATTTCCTGATTTTTCTTGAGGACAAACTTTTCCATAACACCTAAGACCCCTTTCCTGACTCTTCATAGCTAGACAGGTCTTTCTCTCATTTGTGTCACATCCGTTACCTTGTGCAAAAGTCTGCGCAGAATTTAGAGTTGTAATACTCTTGCCTATGTTTGTTTGTGTCCAGTAGAATAGGAGTCTATCTTCAGGGTTCAAGGAATATTTCTTTAACTAATGAGTGAATGGGTGAATGAAAGAATGAATGAATGAAAGAGTGAATGAAGTGATAAGGCCACAGTAAGCTTTTCCAATGTAGCAATAAGTAACTGCATTCATATGCCTGAACGTTCTTCACAGATTTTAACATGGGATCCACATTTCCATCAATTCCAGACCAAGCCAAACACAGCCCACAATGGTGGCTGAGACAGATGAAGTAATCTTGTGACTAAGGACCCCTGCCCCTCCAGACCTGCTACAGCATGGGATTCCCACTAGGTTACATAGGTGCTCTGTGAGATGAAGGACAACTTAGAGATTCCTGCCTCAAAAATAAAGCTTGGGCCATCTCCACAAACCATTCCCCAGGGATGAAGGGTTCAGGCATTTTCTGCATCATCATTTCTCTAAGGGTGAAAGGGATGGATTATTTTGAAAGACTCCATTTGTTGTCCCTTCGTCCTTTTCAAAGATTGATTTTGGATGTGACTGCCCTTGGCACCTAGGAAGGACTCAGGCCAAGAGCAAACTAATATAAAGGGTGCTGTGTGTGTCCTGGTAGGATGTCCCCTTCTTGTCTTTTTCTAAATCAGAGACCCTCTGGCCTCTCTCCTGTGTGTGAGGCATGCTGGTGGTGGAGTAAGGATGAGGGGATTGGGTCTTCAAGGGTAGAAGAAAGCAGTGGGAGACCTCAGCAGAAGTGTGACAATCCTACATGCATCTTGCCGTATAGGAGGTAGAGATGGATTCCCCTCTCACCTCTGCTGGGCATGAAGGCCAATCTTCAGTAGCTGGGCTCCAACTGCCAGGGAGGCGGAGGGTAAAATACCAGGAGTGGCATCCACACACTCATGTCTGGGGCCGCTCACCATGACACAGTGGTCATTGACCAAGGAACATACCACTTGTTGGCTGAGTCATTACACTCAGAGGTCCTGAAAGACAAGTGGCTCTTGATCCACGTGTGGGCATCCCAGAGCCATAGGTTGCGCTTCCCAGGAGATTTGGAGGTCACCTGCAGCCCAGGCAAGGAGAAGGCCTCCCCGGGAGGTCAGAGGGTCCTGGGGTGACTGTCCTCTCTTCAGAAGAATGAATGACTTTCCTTCCTTTGCCCACCAGGCCTGGCACTTCTCCTGAGCAAATCCATGGAATCCTGTCCAGTCCCTGGTGGAGACAGGCTGCCTGCTGGAAGGAGGGCAATTCCAAATGCTGGTGCCTGCCTTTCCCTCTGCCCCAACAGCCTCACCTGTAATAAAGAGTATGTGGAAACCCAAGATGGACCTCCAGGATCTGAAATCTATGGGAAGATTTGTGAAGGTTTAGGTCTCATCTTTCCACCTTCTTGCAACATCTTGACCATCAAGTACACCAGAAAATCTGACCACCCAGCCTCTTGTTTCTATGTGTATTACTGTGGTGATCCAGAAGGTAGGTGGATGGGGACAAGGGTACTGCTGATTCGCCCTCCCCTATCCGTGCCTGGTCATGTGGCGTGTTGGGCATGTGGCTCTTTGTGTGACTGTTGAAATAAGGTTGAGCCAAAATTCTGCTGGACTATCAGTGGGTGAGGGAGAGACAGTGTGACCCAGTGACCATCTCCAGAAACATCTACCGGTTCTATCCCAGCATCTGTGCAAGCCCAGATCTTGGGGTTGGGGAGACCCGATATGAAAACTCTTTTTCATTGGATTATGTGGCATATATCTCTCAGAATATATCATCTTTCTGTTTATTGATCTTATTATAATCCCTTTGGCATTTGCTAGTGTATTTATATAAAATGTATAGTATTAGTATACAGAATGTATACTGTACATATTATATGTGAAATACGTATGCATACAAACATATATACACATATATCTATAATGTATGTATTATAACAAGAAAGTCATAACTTATGGAATGTGATTACAGTCTGGGTTTCTATGAGCTGTTCACCTCTTGTGACACATTGAAACATACTCTACACATTCTTCATCCCTAAGAGGCTTTTCATTCATTTGAGGACTGAAAGGAACTCACACAAAAAGTCAAGTAGTGACATAGAAAGCACAGGCTCCAGGAAGCCACCACTGGGTGGTGCGTGGCAGCTGCAGACACCATGAGATACTGTGGGGTTACTCTCTGGTTGGAGGGATCACAGAGGCTTCACAAAGAGGTGGTGCTCAGGCCAGGTCTTCCTGCATGGGGAGTTGGAGAAGCCAGAGTGAAATGTTCTGAGCAGGAGGCGCCCTATGAGCAAAGGTCGACGTGTGTGGTGAATCAGGGCACACAGGGGAACAGAGAAAGGCGCTTCCTCCACAGTCCATGGAGTGTTTCAAGAAGAGAGGAGCGTGCACTGGGGCCTCCATAGAGCATTTGAACACACTTCAGAGAGTCTGCACTGGCTGTCTCTTCTTTCGTGATTGGTCATGATTCCTCCTCTGGGGACAGAAGAGGACTTGGCTTATTGTCTTGGTTCTGGCTGGACCCAACTTTGGTTGCAGGAAATTTGGCAAGCCCCAAGGAAGTCCTGAGTCCTTCCTGAACGTGGTCAAGAGGTAAGTAGGACACAGAGGTCTGGGCCACTTTCGGAACTCACCTTCGTGCACAGGATCTGCCTCCACGCACTGAAAGGACAGGGCATCTGCTTCCTGCAAACCACACGTGAAGCAATCATCTCTTCTCTGTCCTTTGTTTCAAAATGCTTGTCTTGGAGCTTGAAAATCACCTAAACTCATTGACATTTTGGTGGAGAAGAGCCAGTCCTGGTACCAACCTTTCTGGATTTTCTAACTGTTCACAGACTGCTCCTGCTCCAGCCTTTCCCACCAGCCTTTTCCTCTTGCTTGGGTTTAACAGCACACACTAAGCATGGGGCGGAGTGTGTACAGTCCAGATCCTAGGCGTTCCCAGAGAACAGCGAGATCAAGTACCACCACCTTATCTGCTAAGTCATGGCTTCTGGTTAGCTCGCATGTGTCTTCAATCAGCAAGAGTCATGTGGAACCCAGGGCAAAAGGAGCCAGCGAGATGAAAAATAACAGGAGTTGTAGCCTCAGTTCAGCTATGACTTGCCACGTGGCTTTTGGTTAAGTCTTTTCACCTTTTCCACTATGGTTTCCTCATTTATCAACTGAGGATAGAAACAAGGTAACAATTAACTGGATAATAAACAGTTACCATTTACTAGGCACTGACCATACTCAAGGTCCTACACTAAGAACTTCAGATTCTAATTTCATTGCCCCAGCTTTGTTGAGGTAAGATTGACAAATAAAATCATATATATACATATATAAATGTACAATGTGATGATTTGATATACATATACATTGGGAAACGATTACCATAAGTTAATTAACACATCTATCACCTCCCATAGTTACCTTTGTTTTGTTTTGGTGCGAATGCTTAAGATGTACTCTCTTAGCAAATCTCAAGTATACAATATAGTCTTATGAACCGTAGTCACCATGCTGTACATTAGATTCTTAGTACTTGCTCATCTTATAACTAGAAGTTTGTGTCCTTTGACCAACATCTCCCCATTTTCCCCAACCCTCAGCCCCAGGCAACCACCATTATACTCTCTATTTCTATGAGTTCAATTATTTTTTTTTCAGATTTCACATATAAGTATTTGTCTTTCTCTGGTTTATTTCACTTGGGACAATGCTCTCCAGGTTCGTCTATGTTACTGCAAATGGCAGGATTTCCTTCTTTTTGATGGCCAATTAATATTCCATTATACACACACACACACACACACACCTCACATTTTTATCAGTTTATCTGTTCACAGACACTTAGGTTGTTTTCATATCTTGGCTCTTGTGAATAATGCTGCAATGAACACGGGAGTGCAGACATCTCATTGAGATCCTGATTTTGTTTCCCTAGAATGTATACCCAGAAGTTGACTTGCTGGATCATATGGTAGTGCTATTTTTAATTTTTAGGGGAACCTCCACACCATTTTCTACAGTGGCTGTGCCAGTTTACATTCTCACCAACAGTGCACAAGGATTCCCTTTTCTCCACATCCTCACCAGTGCTTCTCTCTCGTGTTTTTTTTTTTTTTTTTGAGGAAGATCAGCCCTGAGATAACATCCAATGCCAATCCTCCTGTTTTTGCTGAGGAAGATTGGCCCTGGGCTAACATCCATGCTCATCTTCCTCTGCTTAATATGGGATGCCACCACAACACAGCTTGACAAGCGGTGCGTCGGTGGGCTCCCGGGATCCAAACCTGCGAACCCCGGACTGCCGCAGCAGAGTGTGCTCACTTAACCACTGCGCCACGGGCTGGCCCCTATCTCTCACCTTTTTGATAATAAACATCCTAACAGGCGTAAGGTGATATGTCATTGTTGTTTTGATTTGCATCTCCCTGATAATTAACAATGTTAAGTACCTTTTCATGTATCTATTGGTGATTTATGTCTTCTTTGGAAAAATGTCTATTCAGGTCCTTTGCCCATTTTAAAATGGGATTATTTGCTTTTGCACTATTGAGTTATACGAGTTCCTTATATATTGTGGATATTAACTCTTTATCAGACATATGGTTTGCAAATATTTTCTCCCATTCCACAGATTGACTTATATTTTGTTGATTGTTTCCTTTGCTGCAGAAGCTTTTTAGTTTGATGTAGTCCCACTTGTTATTTATGCTTTTGTTGCCTGTGCTTTAGATGTCTTATCCAAAAAATCTTTGCCAAGATCAATGTCAAGAAGCTTTTTAGTAGGTTTTCTTCTAGGAGTTTTACGGTTTCAGGTCCTGCACTTAAATCTTTAATCCCTTTTGAGTTAATTTTTGGGAGTGGTGTAAGATAGGGATCTAGTTTCAGACTTTTGCATGTGAATATCCAGTTTGCCCAACATCATTTATTGAAGAGACTATCTTTTCCCCATTGTGTATCCTTGGCTCCCTTGTGAAAGATTGGTTGACCATATATGTGTGGGTTCACTTCTGGACTCTCTATTCTGTTTCTCTGGTCTATATGCTGGTTTTTACACCAGTACAACACTGTTTTGATTACTATAGCTTTGTAGTATGCAGTCATGTGCCACATAATGATGTTTTGGTGAATGACAGACCACGTATATGATGCGGGTCCCATAAGATTAGTACCATATAGCCTAGGTGTGTAGTAGGCTATACCGTTCAGGTTTGTGTAAGTACACTCTAAGATGTTTGCGCAAGGATGAAATCACGTAATGATGCATTTTAAATGACTCATGACTGCAGTGTGAAATCAGGAAGTGTGATTTCTCCAGCTTTGTTCTTTCTCAAGATTGCTTTAGCTATTTGGGGTCTTCTGTGGTTCTATACAAATTTTAGGATTATTTCTATTTCTGTGAAAAATGCCATTGGAATCTTGATAGAGATTGCATTGAATCCACAGATGCCTTTGGGTAGTATGGACATTTCACAGTATTAATTCTCCCAATCTGCAAACATGGGATATCTTTCCATTTATTTGTGTGTTCTGAAATTTCTTTCATTAATGTCTTCTAGTTTTCATTGTACAGATCCTTCACCTCCTTGGATAAATGTATTCCTAAGTATTTTATTATTTTTTGATGGTATTGTAAATGGAATTATTTTCTTTATTTCTTTTTCAGATAATTTGTTTTTAGTGTATCTAATGCAATTGATTTTTGTATATTGATTTTGTATTCTGCAGCTTTACAGAATTCATTTATTAATTCTCACAGTTTTTGGGTGGAGTCTCTAGGATTTTCTATATATGAGATCATGTCGTCTGCAAACAGACAATTTTACTTCTTCCTTTCCAATTTGGAAGCTTCTTATTTCTTTTTCTTGCCTGATTACTCTGGCTAGAGCTTCCAGTACTATGATGAATAGGAGTGGTGACAGCGTTTTTGTGTTGTTCCTGATTTAGAAGAAAAGCTTTTAACTTTTTACCACTGAATATAGTGTTATTGTGGCCTTACCATATATGGCCTTTATTCCTTTTATACCTGAGTTGTTGAGGGTTTTTAACATGAAAGAATGTTGAATTTTGTCAAATTCTTTTTCTGAATCTATTGAGATGGTCATGCGATTTTTATCTTTTGTTCTATTAATGTGATGTATCACATTTATTTATTTGTGTACCTTTAACCATCCTTGTATCCCAGGAATATATCACACTTGATCATGGTGTATAATGTTTTCAATGTACTATTGACTTTGGTTTACTAGTATTTTGTTGAGAATTTTTGTCACTAAGTCATCAGGGATATCGGCCTGTAGTTTTCTTTTCTTGCAGTGTCCTTATATGGCTTTGGTGTCAGAGCAATGTTGGTCTCGTAAAGTGAGTTTGGGAGTATTTCCTCCTCTTCAGTTTTTTTCTCAATAATTTTATTGAGACCATAATGGTTTATAATATTGTGGGGTTTCGGGTATACATTATTATTTATCAATCCCTGAATAGACTTCATCGTGCTCACCACCAGTAGTCTAATTTCTGTCTGTCACCATACATATGTGTCCCTTTACCCCTTTGGCCCACCCCCAGCCTATTTCTACTCTGGTAACCATTAATCTGTTCTCTTTATCTGTGTATTTTTTTATCTTTCACATATGAGTGAAATCATGCAGTATTTGTCTTTCTCTTTCTGGCTTATTTCTCTTAACATCATACCCTCAAGGACCATCCATGTTGTTGCAAATGGGATGATTTTGTCTTTTTAATGACTGAGTAGTATTCCATTGTATATACATACCACATCTTCTTTATCCGTTCATCCATAGTAAGGCTCTTGGGTTGCTTCTATGTCTTGGCTATTGTGGATAATGCTGCAATGAACATAGGGCTGAATAAATCTCTTTGGATCATTGACTTCAAGTTCTTTGGATAAATATCCAGTAGTGGGATAGCTGGATCATAGGGTATTTCTATTTTTAATATTTTGAGAAATCTCCATACTGTTTTCCATAGTGACTGCACCAGTTTGCATTCTCATCAGTAGTGCACGAGGGTTCCCTTTTCTCCACATCCTCTCCAACATTTGTTATTTTTTGTCTTGGTAATTATAGCCATTCTGACCAGGTAAGGTGATATCTCATTGTAGTTTTGATTTGC